TTACCATGTCCAACTTTGGCGATTTTTCATAATCTTCATTTTGAACTTTTGGAAAAGTTTTGATAACAGTAAGATAGAGTAAACAAAGTGCAATTTTATGCAATTTTTCGGCGTCTAGAGGTAGCCTTAAAAATTCTATAGAATTATTTTTCTGATGCTATCAAATTCCACTTTTGGTGATGCCATGAGCCATAGAACATAAAACGCCGCACAACTAAGGTGCCATTCGATGCAGCTTTTCCTTCTCTTTATACTGAGTATTTTTCTTCCCCATTTGTGGGGGTTCCTTACGATAAAATTTCCATAATTCATGATTTTGAACCCGCCTAAGAGTGTACACGTGAAATGCGAAATCTCATATTTCGAAGCGGTAAACACTCAGTTATTTTGTAAAAATGGTGGGCAATCATAAACGACCTTTGAAAGTGTCAAAATCCGAAAATTTGTTAGTGTTCGGAGCATTTCTGTATTTTGAGACTTTGCAAAAGTGAAGACTTTCAGAAAAATTATCTCAAAAAATACTGAAAGGCCAGCTAGATATGCGAAAAAATTGCATTGTATTGAACTTTGTTTACTCTATCTGGCTGGTTATCAAAGCTTTACCAAAAGTCAAAAAAGAAGATTGTGAAAAATTGCCAAATTTGGATATGGTAAAAACCATGGGTTCGAAATTTCGGCCATCATCTCAGTGACCACAAGAGTAAGCGAAATGGAAAAGTATGACTGCTAGAAAGAGGAAGAAAAGCTGCGTCGGACAGTGCCTGAAGCGTTCCCCTACCTTCATTCCAGGTCTTTTTATGATAGGTTGAAAAAACGGAAAGAACTTTCGGAATGACCTAATATATGAGTTTAACTGTCAACTGTCAAAAAACACGCAAAAATGGCGTGAATTTTTAGAATTCTGGTTTTCAACGACTACCTCTCGAATCGACTCGATTCCTTCACTATCTGATAGAGCACCTTTACTCTTTAAAACCTATGAAGTCGCAACTGCTGACATCTTCAAACAACAGATTTATAGCAGTGGAAATTTCGCATGATTTTTCGCTACTTTGTCATTCCAATTACTGGTTCTCTGCGGTTACTGCCTAGATTGACCTACTACATGGGAATATGCTCTCAATACTTTCTTTTACTTTCCTTTTGCTTATTTTCCTTCTTTTAAGCTTCAGCAAAAAAATTTTTTCGAACCCAAAAGTGAAGGTGGTCACCCGGTATCAGCTCAAAAGTGAAGGTAGGCGGAGACTCGGCTCCGACTATCGCACCTCTGATCGTGATTAGTTATAGACAAATCTCTACCTTCTTTTTGATTCTTCAATAATGACAAGAATAGAACAAAGCCCTTCAAAATATCGCAGTATCATTGTAAAGGATAGCACCATTTCAGTACCAGTAGCATTATTGGAAGCGAAGGAAAGCACAAACTTAGCACCAGTAACATCATTGGAAACAATAGTAAGAATCATCTTAAACACCATAAACACCATTGAGAACACCTTCCTCCCACTTGTAGAAACGATATCAAAGGATACATTCTGAGAAGAGGAAAAAATACCTGGATTTGAGGGTAGTGAAGAGTAACCTCAGCACACTGAGTTTTCAGCTTTTTAGATTTAGAGAGCAATCATAGAAAGCGTTTTCGCGCTATTGTTCGCTGCGGCGGGTGCGCCTTATACAAGGTGCGCCTTATACCCCGGAAATTAGGGTACACCAAATTTGAATCCATATCGTTGCAAGATTGTAAACGACACATCCTTTCATCACATTCAGTAATGGAAAATTTTCAGAAAAAGGCGCGCCATAGCTATTAAACATAATTTTCTCTCAGCCTTTCGCATTCTTTCACTTTGCCCTTGTTCATTTGTTTACAAAATCAGATGTCGTTTGGGTATCTGCTCGCTGTAAACAAGCACTTGTTCATCACTTATTGTTGATTAGAGAAATTTGACTTTTGAAACTCACAATTTACGCAATATCGTTTTCGAACGCACATTGCGAAACTTGTTCATCATGGTCGGTATGTTCAAAGGCAATGTTTTACCAAATTTTGGCATATTAGAAGCGTCTTCGAACCTGCCTACCCTACGTGGGTTTAAAACTGCGTAAGAAATTCATAAAATTCATTCTTTGAAGGCCCCGAGAAAGCAACACGTACGAGCTGTGTTTTCCCACTCTAGCCTCAGTGGCAGCAACGGGAAGTGAAAGTCATGTGGAAGGACGTGTCGAAACACGTAAAGGGGAGAGGATTCGGCCGTGCGAACCAAATCGTTCGGTGCGCACACCACCTTGAGCGTAGAGGGGGTCAAATCGAGTCGAACTTGTTGCAGTGGCATATCTGGGGGAAAGGACCTCTAGTAGAATGCGTGGAGACTGCCGCTACCTCAATTTTGGTAAGACACTTTGAGGAGTGCGTAGTGCATTCATATGTGTATATACAACGTCCCTTTGCTTTTTATAAGACGATATCCAGCTTGTGCCACCCTCGTGACCTGATTGACATAAACATATTTTATGCCATTTTCATCAGTTTTGCCAAAAACGCTCCTTTCTGTAAACAAAAAAAAAACTATAGGGAACAAAAATACTTTCTTTGCCTTTGATATTTTATTGGAGTGTTTTGAAATTCTGCACATTGTAGAGGTTTGACTTATTGTTGGATCCACCATAGCTCTTGATAGAAATGATCATTGCGAGTTCAGTGAGTTGGCAAAAATGTTTGGTAATTCTGTGTATAGCAAAAATTGTCGCAGCAACTATGAAAAGTTTTCCATTGCCGAACATGCTTTGCGAAAACCCTCTATTCGAAAATCTTAACTTGCCCCAAAATTTGGTGGTAAAAGCTTAGGCCTGTTCATTATGTAACCGGTGGTCGGCTGAGCGTGATACTAACTCACAATCTCACCGATTTTTTTTAAACGTATGATCTACTCTGCCCAGCCTTATTATATGGCGGGAGAATTTCGCGATAAAAATGCATAATTTTTTGCGACCACAACGAGAGTTCATGTTTTTGAAAATCATATCTTGATAAGCATTATGTTTCCAGAAAACAATACACAGGGTGTCCCAAAAAATGTATCGAACGTCTGATCTTTAGTAACTTCCTTATATGGAAAGCTTCCTCGGATCTTTGGGTACCATACGGCAGGGCTAGCTTCAACTTAGATTTACGGTAAGGAGCAAATCACCGATCTCCCTTAGTTACTGCAGGTTTACGGTAGGAACTTTCGACTACTTTTAAGCTTCTAAGGATCGTTCAGACCGCGCACAAAGGCGCACAAAGGCACACGAAGGCACATCAAGGCGCACAAAAGCGTGTGTGAGTGTGTGTGTGGTCGAGATAAACGAGACGAGACGAGACGCGCCTTCATGCGCCTTTGTGCGTCTTCGTGCGCCTTCGTGCGCCTTTATGCGCCTTTGTGCGCGGTCTGAACGATCCCTAACAAACATTAATTGCCTCTAAAGCTTCCGAAAAAGAACCGAAGGGCGTCAAACTAAAGTTTTCGGGAATGCTGAATCCAGTTACAAAATGTTACGCTGCCGTATTCCTCGGCTTCTTACTCTATGCGCGCCGCAAAGCTGAATTTATGACTTTTTCAACATTTACTAAATCAACGTCGTCTCTGTCAAACAAAGTTCAGTTAAATCTTAAAGACTTCCTCATATTTTATTGGATGCAAATAATAGTGCGAAAAATTATCAAATCAGGTTTTGAACACAATCAATGATTTTATTTCATTTTACTTATTGATTGATTGATTTCGAGTGTTTGTAACTGCAACGTTGATTTGAAAATCATCAAAAAGGCAAAAAAATCAACGTTACAGTGCACACCGTAAGAAACCGAGGAGTACGACAGCGGGAAACCTCGTGAATAGGTTCAGCATACTCGAAACCCTTGATTTGACGTCTTTCGGTTTTTTTCCGGAATTTTTAAAAGCAATTCTCGTCTATTAAAAGCTTCAAATCAATCGCAAATTCCTACCGTAATCCTACAGTAACTAAGGAAAATGGATGATTCGCTTCATACTGTAAATCTAAGTTAAAGCCAGCCCTACCGCGTGGTACCCAGAGATCTGCAAAAGCTTTCCATGAAAAGAAATTATTGAAGAGCAAACGTTCGATACATTTTTTTGGGACACCCTGTATATGTTTTAGGATTTTCGCTTGCCTCTGGATTTATGGAAATAGAGCAAACGAAAGTATTTCACTTTGCTTTGTGTATTTTTAAGGTGGGGCAGATTTAAGAGCTCTAGAGAACGAGAGCTTGATTGGAAGTTGTGAAGAAAGAAACTTCAAAGAAGAGGCTTAAAAACTGAAACTTTTGAGACAACCCAGTACCTTCGGAAAAGAAGAAAGCAGCTTTTCTATTAAAATTGGTAAGCAAAAATTGAAGCGCAACAGCTTTGACACGTATTGCTGCACTTCCATCATCCCGCAAATCAAAACGAATTTCGAACGCTACGAACTCAAAAAACGACCTTGGTATCCTAAAAGTATTTATCCACTGTTTGGTTCTGAACAATTTTCTTGCTTTGGGATCTTCAGCAAACCTATAAACATCATTTTTCAAAGCTGTTCATACATAGTACGGCGTGTATCGATGACCGCTGTTTGTTATTGTTGGAGTACGGTAGAATCTCCGTCATCTTCGTCTAGCTAATTATCTGCTTCTCAACTTTTCCAGAAAAATATAAAAACAACTGCGCACCTGTTTATACTACTTAGCTTTTTAATGAAAAACTTTTTAATGATTTTATACTATATTGAAAAAATCGAGGATTGTACACAACTTAAGCCATCGCTTTTTTGTCATATCTTGCTAGAAAAACTTAGCGGTATGATCAGTATGTGCTGTCCACATTCACACTTATGTGTCAATGCGGTAATGCACAACTGAAAATATTGATTGCTGACACTCTGCTCTCATCGCGCTGATGAGAGGGTATATTGGAAATTTGCTACCAGTGAGACTTATCAAAGCTTTCTTTCATATTCAGGACGTGCGAGCAAAGGTCTTCAGGATTGAGCGCAGCAGCAGCACAAAGGAAACTTATAGCAAGCAGGTTCTAAAACTTCAGTGTTAGGAAGCATTTGGCCTAAAAAACTCTCCGTTTAGATCGCTTCATGGACAGTTGCCAACAAAGTCGAATTACTGTACGGAAGTTTTGATGTCGACATCAAAACTATAAGGACATACCGTATTGTTACGGCATTGGTATGTTACCTGTCCAAAAAAGTCCACTCTGCCCGGCTTGACAAGGCTTATACTGCATTGATATTTAGTATTTATATTCACTTAACTTAGCGCCTACAATCATTTTTCTTTCTACATAATTGGCTTAAGTTATATTCAACGTGCGACGCACGGTGAAAAATTGGTATCAGGACGTTTATTGTTATTATGTTTTTTCACTCTCCCGTAAGAGTATAAACACAAACAAGAGTGTTGACCATTCATGAAATATTTCAATTTCATTTTTTAATTTTTTTCTTCATCTTATATATAAAGCTGAATGTCTGTTTGTCTGTCTGTCTGTCTGTCTGTATGTCTGTCTGTACGTATGTTCCGAATAGAAAATTCCATTTCTGAACCGATCCGGACCAAACTTGGCACACATACACTTCGGGCCCCGGAGGGTGTCATAGGCTACTTTTCGTCATCGATCGATATCGATTTTATCGATTTTTTGCAGCTCACTTACGAGGCTGGGAGTTGGCACAGGGGGGTAAGTGAGCATGGGGATTCCGAATACAATATTAGTTTTCAGGATTATCGAACTTTTATCGATTTTATCGATTTTTTTTGCAAAGTTTGACCTGCGGGGCTGGGAGTTTGCACAGGGGGGGGGGGGTAATTGAGCATGGGGATTCCGAATACAATATTAGTTTTCAGAATTATCGAACTTTTATCGATTTTATCGATTTTTTTGTAAAGTTTGAGCTACGGAGCTGGGAGTGGGCACAGGGGGTAAGTGGGCATGCTGATTACGAATACAGTATTAGTTTTTGAAATCGTCCATTACTTTCGATCTTATCGATTTTTTGCAAAGTTTGAGCTACATGGCTGGGAGTTGGCAAGGGGTAAGTGGGCATGCTGATTTCGAAAAAAACACAGGGAAGGAACGGGAAATGAAGTGTAGGAGTGGGCACAGGGAAAGGCTGTACAGGGATAGAGATGGGACCTTTATTACAGTGTTTTCACAGGGCCGGGCGGAGTCGGGTAAGCAAGCTAGTATTCTTATAAGGTACAGAAATGGGCATATAATTTGGAGCTAAATTGAGGAGTCAAACAGTTTTGCCGAAACATTTAAGATGCGGAAGCTCACTCGTTTATATCTAAGGTACGTAGGATTTCTCGATTTAGAAGTCTCTCCATATGAAAATGTTAGAACTTTAGGTCTTAGTGAGAGGTACTAGGCTGTCGCCAGTTGCCGCACGTAGTCTACAGGCTCACGTAACAGTTACGATTGACTCGACGATACGTAAGACTCCGTTCAGCATGCCGGAGCTGTGACGTCGCTGAGAAACTGCGCTGTTCGGCGCTGTCTAGCTAAGGCTGGTTTCATACTCATCCGTAAGTTCCGGAACAGCTCCAGCAAGCGTACATCTGATGCATTGTGCTGGAACTGTTTCGGTCGACAGTCGGTCATTTCCTAGGGGGAGGGGTGTATAGCGATCCTCGTTCCCAGCCAAATATTGATCGAAATCTTTACCAGGAGATTCGGTAGCACTGTGCGCAAGTCGAGACAAAACGGCACTGTCTCGGCGCTGCCTCAGTGCCGCACAGTTCCGGCACCCTGGACGCAGGCTAAACAAGACACAAATAACGATGAATTCATCATATCCAAACTTGTGCAAGCTCTTCTCCCTTAGGGATATCACATATGAAATCACGAAAAAGATCAGCTAGCCAGATCAATCAATACTGTTTACTTAGCATTAGATCAATTTGCCAGTTGATAATTGTAACAACACTTTTTCAGTTATTGAGATGTTGTGGTAAAATTTGAATAGGTAAGACATTATGACTCGATATGGCCTTTTCCAACGAAATGTAAGATGCATTCATGGTTATGCAAACACCTCTAAAAGAGCTGAGCGACTTCTTCTGAGAAAGAAAGAAGCCGTAAGCGCTACATGAAAGAGGGTAAACGGAAACATTACATCACAGATTTGAATGTTTTAAATTGTAACAGCGTGCGCCAAACGTGTTTTTGGAGCTGTTCATGATTATACAAACACCCGGAGCATATTTCGCTTCAAGAAGAAGTCCATTTCAAGTGAGGGTTGTCTGGCATCATAATAGCGGGCTCTAAACTACGTAGTCGTTTCGCAGAAAAAGGTGGTTTGAAGACACAAGGTCAAAACTGGGCATGAATATGTTCATTTTGAAATCGCGCTCCACAGTGATTTTCGGACTGTCTAAAGTTACCGACACTCTGAGTGCATTGGGCTTTTCTAAACCATTAACATTCATTTACTTAGCTAGGGGCCCCGTTGTAACGTTTCAGAGTCTCATCACCCTGTGAATTAGTGGACAATGCCTTTAAGGTTGCCAACTCTGCCACTCAGACTTCTATGGAGAGTTACAGTCTCATACCAACAGGGAAAATTTTCTCTCGGACTGGTTTTCCCAAGCACAATCTAGACTGACTAAAGAACACTAAACGTTGGTTTCAAATTCTCTAAACACCGAATTGTGAGTATCTTGGGGTTAAGAAATTGGCCGGCCTGGAATAAAGTCTTTTCGAATAGCTTCAATGGTCTACTTTCGATCAGAGCATTTTATGCAATGATTACTCTTGATCTAATATACGCCTACTTAACGCAGCTGCAATTTAGGTGATTTTATGAAGATTTTAAAGGTATATTATCATGTACACGATGTGCCTACCTCATCATAGAACTTTTTCTACTCTAGAGTATGGTTGTACTTAAGAACGTGCCATTTCTGTGGCAAAGTTGGGTTAAGGGGGGAAGGGGAGCTGCAATGCTTGCATGAGCAATCAGTACTAGACAAAAGATAAAAAAAAACAATTTTATTAAAGACTTCTATCGAGCTCACTAAACGCTTAATATCTTACAAGAGTGATGTCAGTGACAAAAAATAGGCAGTTTCATAGTTTCTGGTATTTTTGATTTTCAGAGTTAATTTTCAGGGATATGAAATTCTAGCGTACAGGGGTTCCCACCCTGATAAAGCTTTTGCCCAAATTGTACTGCGCCACTTTGCTTCTGAAGCGAGAAAACCGCTTAAAGGCAGTGTCCGGGCAAAAAGTCGATTTTGAGATTTTGTGCTTACCCGGGCCTATTCACTATGCTAAATCTGAAAATCCACATTGGAAAGCGCAAAAACGGCAAAAAAGGGCTCTAACGCAGGAGAGTAATTGGAAGTGGGCGGGGTCCTCCCCACTGTGAATTTCGCAGTACCAGCTTCTGTAGCGATCTTCCCAATTCCACTAGCGTCCTGAGATCTCCAGCGGCCAGGTGCGAATGCATGACCTGAAATCGGAACCGAGAAGATCGCTCTGGAAGCTGGGAGCGTGAATTCACAGTGTGGAGGACCCCGCCCACCTGCTGATTTCCCGTCCGTGTTAGAGCCGTTTTTCACCGTTTTTGCGCTCTCCAATGTGCATTTTCGGATCCAGCGTAGCGAATAGGCCCGGTTAAGCAAAAAATCTCATGGTCGAGGTTTTGCCCGGACACTGCCTTTAAATGCAGCGTACACTCAAAATCTACTCACCCCAGATTTTTACTTATCCTACTAGTAGGCCCTAAAAGTAGACCAACCGCGTTGGTCCGGCCTAATTTTGCTTAAAAAAGAAGATAACGGATGCGCTCCGCCCCCTTTTTTGCGTTCCACCCACCCACGAATTGCCCCCCCCCCTCGTGACGTCCTAACATGACAAGCAACTTCGAAACGCATGATGTGGCATTACACAGCGGGGTTTCCTGTAGCATACGACGTGACTAGAGTGTCCTGGCAGATTTTGCGTGTCCGTCTTTCTGCAGTTTTAGGCCATTTCGACATGCAGAACCCGACTTTGAGCTTTGAACCAGGTGAAAAGACCGTTTTTGGGCTGTTTACCCAACTTCCATTAAGCAGTTCGGACGAGTTTCACTGGGAAGTTGGGAGGTCCTGCAGAAGACTTTGCTGCATGCAATGCTTGCTTTGGATAGCATGCACAAGGAAGCGGTCGTGGGGTCCCGCGCCGAACAGATAAGGGGGGCCGTCCGAGAGCGGGCCGATTGGGGTTGCGCGCGCCGGTCGAGGGTTGCTTTTGCGGCGCAGGGGTAAGGGAGCCTCCAGACCGCGCCGGGACCGCGCCTGTTGTCGCTTTTGCAGCCGGTAGCTGCTTTCGCGCCGGTTGCCGCTATTGCAGCCGAAGCGCACTGTGTCAGATTTTGTCCTTGGAGCGTAGCGAGAGCCTATTGGCACTAGATGCTAGGCTTTTCGATTCCTTTGTCATCACTTTTTTGTTTCCAAAGTTCTCTTCTTTGCTGTAGTAATTCATTGCAGATATGGTTCATTTAATCTGGATTTCGTTTTTTCGGTCGTTCTGCTGGAAAAATCGATTCATTGTCGAGTGAAACCCTTTCAGTCTAAATCCCGCTGTAGAGCTATTGCAAGACAAGGCCCTTTCGACGTCTTTCTCGTTTGAAACTGGTTTACTATGCTGGATAAGCAAGTTGCGAATGTATTTTTTTTTGTTTTTGAAGCTATTTCATCATGCCGTAGGAGCGATTTAGCTCAGAACTCAAATTCCCTCTACTATTCTTGCTTTTGGTACTTCACTACGCTAACGATCTATTCCAAAGCGGAGTCATTTGGTGCCTTCTCCTTCTCCATTCAAGGTATATATACCGTTCACTTCAGCATACTTAGCTAATCTTGAGTAGTCAAACGAAACTTAGATCAGTAAGTGTACCTTCAAGCCTAGTAAAGTAGCTTTAAAATTAGACAGCGCAAAAAACAGCGTTTTGCGACGATATCGTTCACTAAGCATAGTAGACCAACCTCAAATCGTAAGACATCGAAGAACCTTGCCTGCACAACCACACAGCAGAGCAATATCATCAAAACGAAAGCTGTGCAAAAAAAACAGCGTTCCGCAAAGATTTACGAGCTCCCAGATTTGTGCGGAGGCAAGTGCCGGCTTTTCCTGATTTTAATGATAAGGTTAACGAGAGAGTACGAAAAACAATGCTGCATGAAGTTTCAACAAGTTCACACTTACATTCAGGGAAAGTCCGCAACACGATGACTCTTGATAGTTCAAAACTAAAGACAAATTTAAAGAAACTTTGTTCTACACGAAATGATCAACCACTGTAAAAGAATAGCCTGGAAATGAATGAAAGACAAAACGCCATTCATCAGTTTTTTGCCTAAAGAAACAGCTCTACAGCGGGAAATAGACAATTTGGATATTCGACAATGAGTCGATTACTCCAGCATCTTAGAACCTGCATGAATTACTTACGAAAAGAAGAGGACCTTGGAAACAAAAGAGTGGTGGCAAAAGAATTGAAAAGCCTAGCATTCAGTGCCAATAGGCTCTCGCGACGCTCCAAGGACAAAATCCGACACTGTGCGTTTCAGCTGCAATAGCGGCAACCGGCGCGAAAGCAGCTACTGGCTGCAAAAGCGACAACCGGCGCGGTCCCGGCGCGGTCTGGAGGCTCCTTAACATCAGCTAGCCGGACTTGGTCTAGATGTTAGTGGGGTGACCAGAAACCCCACCACATCTACATTCCAAAGAGCGCGAATCTGCACACTGCCTTGAAGCACTTGAGATGGATTATTAAAGAAGCGCTTTACAATCAAAAATTGCCTTTATGGCACTGTAATCAATCTTCCTGATCGTAAGCACTATGTCGTGTTTCAAATCTTGATAATCTGAATCTTGAAAAAATGAATTGAATAGCTGAAATACGCCGGTGTCTTTTCGAAATTTCAAATATTCTTCATTAGATCTAAACCATTCTTTCAGCAATCACCATTCGTACAATTAAGCGGTGATCCCGAAAAGCCTTACGAAGGTCTCTGCATAGATCTTATCGACATGATTCGGGAGGAGGTTGTTGATTCTTGACAAGTTTTGTACGGAATTATTCCAAATTTCAGCTGAATTTTACATATACCATATATGAGGTGGAGGATGGCATATATGGTTCAATTGAGCAAGATGGTAGATGGAATGGCCTTATTGGTGACTTGGGTTAGTATACAAAGATTTCATTGCGCATCATAAGTATTCTAAGATGTAGTAAAGGCTAAGCAAGCAAATTGATATTTCGCACCATATATATATTTGAATCGTGCCATCCGAAGTCTGAGATATCTAGCTTCTATATAGGAGAGGCTTTTGTTGCGTGGTAATAACTGTCGTAATTTGTTGTTGGTCTTTTATCCGAAGTGTTTCTTTTCTACAATCAAGTGCGAAACAATTAAGTTTCGGGATCAGCAGACATTGCCTTGGCCGCTCTAAGCGCGACTGCTGAACGCGGGCTTGCTGTGGACTTTACGCTGCCTTACTACAAACCCGTCGGTATAGCAATTCTGATGAAAAAACCGGATGTAAGCTACTCGATGTTCGAATTCACAGAGGTATGCTTCGGTCTTAGTCTCTCAGTCTTCTAGACCTTCTTCTTATCAACAACTGTTAAGGTACTGGAGTGGCAAGTGTGGCTCTCTATAGCAGTTGCATATCTCCTGGCAAGCATCACATTGCGGCTATTTGACAAATTAAGTCCATACTCGAATACCAATAAAAGAGAGAGGAAGATGCAGTAAGATTTCCTCTAGACATCGGCTTCATGTGAGGTGTGCCAACCAGTGCCAAAAGATACAATAGTTTAAAAGAAGGGAAGTCGATTTCCTCAGAAATCTTTAAAAATCTGACTGTCTTAAGCGTACCACTCGATGAAACAAAGCAAGTTCTACAAGAACAAGCTCTTATATTAGCTCGGTCCAGAAGTTTTGTCATTTTCTGAAATGATTAACAAACCCCGTACAGTAAAGATAACCAAACGGGTTGCACATATCTTTGATGTAGAAATTCTTCATCTTTCCAGTTGCTATATCAGCAGTGTGATCAAATAAGAGAGTGCTGAGATAATCTGTACATCAAATCCCTTCGTTTCCAACCTTGTCTGACTTTCGGACTTTCGCTAATTATTAAACTTTTATTTAAAACTTTCGCAAGAGCGTTGATAGCCAGCTAATAGGACAGACCTTTTGCCAACTGAGGCATTTTCTGCACATGTGGCTTGCCCTTCAGCATTTTGAATATATTTTTAAGGTACCCAAATTTTATAATCGGCCTATTCTAAACTAGTAGAACATGAAATGATAAACAGTTTAACTACTATACGACGCAACTTTTTTTTCTTTTTGACAGTTGTTTTTCTTGCCAAACACGCGAAATTTGAGGAAAAAATCGTATTTCTCAATTTCACGAATGCACACAACATAGCCTAATTCAGATCTTCATATGTTGAAGCGAATAGCTCGTATACTTTGTAAGACTTGCAATAGTAATAATCGAGTGTTTCACCATTCTGAAAAACTTGCAGTGTTTTGTGCAACAATAGGCTATGCGGTTTTTTCAAAATCAAGAAATTTTATAAAGTTTAGCAAATTTCCGAAGGAGTAGCTGGATAAAGAAGAAAACTACTGGCAGAAGGTTTGCCCTACATGCTAATTAATGAAGGTTCCTCAAAACTCGAATAAAGACTGAAAATTAGCGAAATTTGGACGGGTTGCAATTTAAAATGTTGTAATTTCTAGCATTATCTCAGCATCCTCTCAACGAATCACATGCTTATACGAAAGCTGGAAAGAAGAGGAAATTGTGCATCGGATGGAGCTCGAAATGTTTGTTTATCTATATTCTATCGCATTTGCCGATGGATTCAAAGTATTAACAAAACTTTTGAACCACCCTAATATTTACATCAATTTCCGTATATCTGAAGTTCAAAGGCAAGATTTAAAAGGCTCTGATTGGCTGAAAATAAAAAGAAAATCGTATTTTTGCTTAAGAAAATATCCTATGGACAGGGCTTGGCACGAGGTGGTTTCACGAAATTGCAAAAAAACGAAGTTTCCCTTGATTTCGCAATGAAAGTACGACATCCGCCATGAGATGTCAGAAGAGAAAACACATGAAAATTAACGGAACAAAGCAAAACAAAGGAGGAAATGCCAAAGAAGCATTAAACAAACGCGATGGTATTTGTATTCTCCGGATTGGCGGCATGATGTATCCAGCGAGCAGCACTACGCACCTGGAGCAGCGTTGCCACCGCCATTCAAATATTTAAGGGGCTGTAACTAAGCGGAGAGTACAGTGCATGTTAATGAGGAGCTCACAAGTCCGTAGCTCTTACGCGTACGCATCGCAAGGCTGATGCGCTCCGTTCGCGTGCGTACGGCTTGGGCCCTTGCCAACCCTCGATCGATGACGTCTGTGGGAGTTGGCAAAATGCCCTGCCGTCCGCCCGCGCACGTGGCGCACGGGATTTGCGGCGCGTGCATGCAAATCGAGGACTGCACAAAAGGGAATAGGTTTTTGACATCGTCTGTAGGAGGTTTGAGGCGGTTTAGAAACAAATTTGTAGGGTTTGTGATGTAGGTGAAACTTATGTAAAGAAAGTAAGAAAATTATGTGAGGGAGGGAAAATCTATGACTTTTTCTTTCCCAAGTCACCTCAGTTGGCTTCCAGATGGCTTGAAAACCACCTAACTTCGAAAAAAGTTGAGCACGCTTTCAGTTCACACAATTTTTTCATTTTTCATACTTAGTCCTAACTCCCTAATACCCATCTACACACCTTTTCTGGTGTCATTTCATCTTCACTTCGCTGTAAACAAACCGTTTGTTTCTTTGGGAGAGCATGCTGCCCGCATACCGGCAGCGTGCCGGCGGCAGGTCGAAAGACAGCGGTATGCTCTTCCGCAAAAACGATATCTCCTTTGCTTCTTCCCCAAAAACGATATCCAGCTTGCTTGGTAAGCTACCTGTGCCGTGCCCTGCCTACGGGCCCGCCCCCAACTTTCTCACATATACATTCTCTATGCCAAACACTTAGTTGCACCGTTTCGTGATTTTTCCATGGCTGGAAAAGAGAAAATTCAATTTTGTTAGGCTTTTGCCGACACAATCCTAGGTTCTTATTCTTCTCAAATAAGTGATTTCGTGGTTTTTGAATAACATTGAAAAAAACTTTTGAAAGACAGCATTTTCGTACTTTTCGCCTTTTTTTCATATTATAGCCATGAAAAAATCTACCAACTGTACATATAAGTGTATGATGTGGAGAGAACATGCATGAGCTAATCGCTGTTTTGTAGGAATTCTATAAGCGCAGATTCGATTTTCGAATGTTTGACCGTCGTAAGTAGGATGTGATGCGAAACTATTTTCCGAAAGCCTAACATATAAAGAATCTAGCAAGTAAGATGAGAGTTCCGTTTATTGATTATTTTTTACCAGTGTTTCACCTCTCTTCGCAGAAGCTCGCACTGGCTCCTCTATCTATATGCCTTCCTCTTGCTCGCATGATGTTAACTCTGAAAGTCACCGTGCAATGCGGACCATCATGAACTAATTGTGAACAGTTATCATTCCATGAGCTTTTACATGTAGGAGCAGTAATTTTGGTAAGAGAAAATTGTTGTGTAGAAGATTGAAAGAACATTCCGGTCAGTTAATGAAGTTATTATGGTCGGATGATTTTCGTTCAAAGGATTCGTTCAGGTTTCTGCTTAGAAATGTAGGTGACAAAAGTGGCTCTTTTGACACTTTCGTCACTTTCTGAGCAGAAACCTGAACAAATAATTAGGCATCTTGACAGACGATCTAAGCAAATATTTCTTTTTGGTGCTGATTGTGCTCAAAAATAGGTATTCTGGTCACATTTTGGGCTTAAGTCCATGACCTGTGCATTTACTCGTTGAGCAAATTTACAACTTCGCAAACGTATAACCACCGACCCAATTTGCTGAATCAAAATTCGCGTAGACCACTTTGACGTCAGCTTTCGAAGGTTCCAATTATTTGATCGGCTTATGCTTTTGCACAGTTCATCTACATATTGATAGGGTGCTATGACCAAATTTCAGCTTAAGACCTTGACTATAACTTGCTCTATGAATTTCGTGACAGACAGAAATACACACAAACTAAAAATGTCTTTTTTAACAGTCTTTTGACCAAAACTTTATGCGAGCTAAAAAAAGCGGTTTCTTCTGTGTCGAGATTTCCGTCTCAGAACATTTTCAACCAAGAAAAACTACCCTGACACATACTTTACACATTATAACTTTCACATTCAATGTCTTCACCTAATCTATTAAAGAGCTTGAGAGAAATTGAAGTATGCCTTTGACACATGATCTCTAAAACGTGAAATGAAATGAAATGTAGAGCTTCCTATCGCTCTTTAGCTTTGTGTCTTACCTTTATCTTCATCTTTATCTGATATGCTCGAGGCGTGCTGGAAAAGTACAACAATTCAGTAACAGAAACACACACGTAACGGATTATTTAAAGTTAGGAAGAGATAGAAAATGGAAAACCAAAACAAAAAAGATCTATAACTGAACACAATGGTAACGGCAGTTTAGGTTCAGCTACTCATGTATACATAAAGCAACAACTCATACTAGACGAGCTTGAATGGCACACTATTCTTCTAGAGAAATATATTGCTAGCAAATGAACCCACGATATCTGACTATCCTCCTGAGCACTTTGGTCAAACATGACCAAGCAGCAGAAAGCCGACGAGCCGACGCCCCGCGAACAGGTGAACTGACAGCCCCCGTCAGAAAACCCAAAACGGGCGCACTGGCAGGGGGCAGCCAGTACAACCGGGGGGGGCAGCCAGTACACCTGATCTGTAGCTATGTTGAGAACCAAATTGATTTACTTTGCATGCAAGAATTTTTTTCTTTGACAAAATCATCTGAATGAATTTTCAAAAGCTTTTATATCGTATTCTATGTAGTCGCAGACGGCGGAAACAGTACAAAAAAATTGACCGTCTACACGCGGATAGCCTGTTTCTAAAGGCACGGTAAAAGAAATAAGGAAAAAGGAAAGCTGGTTGCTTGTTGGCGTGCCGCACCTCGCTTCATCATGCAAGTGATCAATATAGTTTGCAGGCCCTCTATCAATATGGAATATCGTGTCTTTAGTTTCAAGGAATGTTTATGGTTCTGCATGACGTCTTTGACTTCCCAGGGTAAAGAACCATTGATCCTTGCATTCGTTTGTCCATTTTGTAAATCAATATCGAGGTGTCAAAGCAAATAGCGTGAATTTATAGGGATTGATTATAAGAGCAAACAAAATGTAACAAGAAAAGAAAGTTCTTACCATTTCAATGTGGAAACGTCTCTCTGAAAAGCAAGCCTTTTTAGCCCACAATCCAAAATGCGAGTTACAGTAAGAGTTGGGCCCACTGTATGTTACAGTTATTAACATTGACAAAACAGCAGCGGTTGATGGAGGGAGTTCTGGAGATGAGCGTACCGCTCTCCCGGGGTTTTCCCCCTACGGTCTCATATCTTTTATATCGGTCGGCAACCGTGTCAGATTGTTCTCAGCTATGCATGTAGAAGAATCTGTCAACACCTGCATATGTCACTCTGGATCGTTCCCTCTTACAAATAAAAATGAAAGTTTGGGTGGTTGAAGAGGGGCCTCTATAGAAGTGACGTACTGCAGCAGCGACACGACGCGGACCGTTGCGAGGCGGACGCTCGCAAACCATTCTCCGCCTAAA